CTCACTTCAGCCGGTGACTCTGCTTCCAACTTTCCTATACAAGCGGAAGCAATTGGGGCCAGCAGGTGGCATAGTGTTTAGGCGTGTTAGACTCCCACATGGTCGACCATGGTTCGAGTCCTGGACCTGGCAGCTTGCTTTCTCACTTTCTCTCTCTCTCTCTCTCTCTCTCTCTCTCTCTCTCTCTCTCTCTCTCTCTCTCTCTCTCTCTCTCTCTCTCTCTCTCTCTCTCTTTCTGTCTCTCTCTTTCTCACTCTGTCCCTTTCTGGTCAAATGAAAATAAATAAATAAATAAAGTTAAATAAAATAATTCTTTAAAAAAGAAAAGAAAGTAGAAGCAATCTACCTAACAGATCCCATCCTCCCTCATCTACTTGAGGATAATATTGGTTCAGGAATTCTCTTCTTTCCCACATTGTCAGCTTCTTACTTCCTACAGGATTGCAAACTTGCTATTAACTGTCCCAGCTTCAAAACTAAGCAAAACTTTTTTTTCTTTTTTTCTTTTTGGAAGCAAAACTCCTTTGACCCCATTTCCTCTTCTATTTACTCCATTTCTTTGTTCCTCTTTCTAGCACAACATTCAAACTTATCGCTGTTCAGTCTCCTTTCCTTCCTTTGTGGATCACCTATTTAATGATACATCCCAATTTGGTATTTCCAGCCTGGAGCCTTCTCCAAACCCAGAATTATTTATCTAGCTACGTATTCATAGCTCTACTTGGATATCAAGTAGACATCTCCAATGCAGCATGTAAAAACTGGGATACTCCATCTCCTCTGGCCAAAGTCTTCCCCACCTACAGCGTTCCCCATCTCGGTTGAAGGCAACTCCATCCTTCTGAACTGCACAGGTCAACCTTGGCCCCTCTGTTTCTTTCTCATTCTACACTAAAACCATCAAGATACTTTTTGGTTCAGGTCAGTCAGGCAGTGTGGGAGGCTGCGCACCAGCGAGTATCGCGGGTTTCTCAGAGAGCAATTACACGATGCCAAAAGCCATGATTGGCTTCCCTTCAAAACCTCACCTTCAAAACCATACTCTGATTGGCCACTAGAATCCCTCAGATTTGCATATCCGGCACCTCATGATTGGTCCACAAAGCAACCAATCATAACCCATCTTTTACAACCAATCATAACCCACCTTTTACAACCAATTACGACCCACCAACATGTATATAACCACGATCCCTGGTCCACAATCACCAGACGACCCTGAAGACGCTGAAGAGTTGTAACACTGTGTTGTCTCTGTGCTGCCCACAATAAACGGAGGACCCTGAAGAGTTGTAACACTGCGTCATCTCTGTGTTGTAACACTGCGTCATTTCGTCTCTCACTCCTTCCCTCAGGAAACCTGTTCGACTGTCCCCCAGGTCAGGACAAGGCAGTGTGGTGGCTAAGGCTGGAGCCTCAGTGTTCTCACCATCACTAGCTTCCTCAAAAAAACACCATCATGATTCTCCAAGGGGGAAGGGGAGGGAGATGCCCTGCTGGGGCAAGGGGGATCTGAAGA